GGTTTGGAATCTTTTCTCTAGGAGTTTTTTTCATAAGTAGCCGCTTTCTAGAAGAGCCGGTAGCCAGTCATTGAAAAGCGAGGATGCATATCAAATGAGAAGGGATGCTTTGGAAGTCTTGTGGGTGAAGGTGGCTTTGATCTTTAGAATCACAACAGATTGATTCTTTTTGCTTACAGGACACTTCCTTATAGCTCTATACCTGCAGGAGTAGGGCATTTCCCACCCTGGAGTTTAGGATTTTGCAAATGGGCAGAATGCCTTTAAATTTTTTTTTTCTGGTGCTCCAGTCAGTTTGCCAGGAGAGAGGGAGGGAAGATGTACAGCAGAGGGGGTATGTGTGCCAATAACTGTGAGGGAATTGGGCTCCTGCTATGAAGAGATTAAAGACAGTGTTAGCAGATGTTGACTGAGATGGCATTGGCCCAGCTGAAATGCTCTCAACACAGTTATTATAACAGATAGGTTTGAGCCCTCCTGTGGAGTCTAATTCTGAACTTTGTGATATAATTCTCTTAGATATTTGTTTGCATTAAAATGGGTTTCCCTTCCCTTTTTTCCTATTCTTTTCCTTTCCTTTCCCTAGAAAAAGCTCTTAGTTGTAATGGAAGAGAAAAGAGTCAGAATTTGCAGTCAGAAGCCCTGGGTTTGAATCCTGGCCTTGCTTCTGTATGACCTTAAGAGAGTCACCTTATTTTCTCCATCTCTAACATGTAGAAATTGTATTAGGTGACACATAAGGCTTATTCCACCTCTACACCAGTGATCTTGTGTTTTAGAGCCAGAGACCTGGGTTTGAATGCTGAATCTGTTACATTTTAGGGACAGTGAGGTGATATAATATGTAATGTGCTAAACCTGGGGTCAGAAAGACCTGAGTTCAAATGTGGCCGCTGACACATACTAGCTGTGTGACCCTAGGCATATCATTTGTTACTTGGTATTTGCCTCAGTTTCCTCATCTGTACAATGAGGATAATAATAGCTCCCAGGGTTGTTGTGAGGATCAAATGAGATAAGAATTGTAAAGTGTTTAGCATATCATTTAGCACATAGGAAGTACCATATAAATCCCAACTATTATTAGCATTTATTATTATTATTGTTATTATTATTATTTTGGTTGTGTAACCTTGGCCAAGTAGCAGTCTTGTTTTTAGTTTCTTCATTTGTCAATCAGTCAACAAGCATTTATTAAGTGCTTACTGTATTTTGGGTACTGTGCTAAGTGCTAGGAGTATGAAGAAAGGCAAAAATATGTTTCCTGCCCTCAAAGAGCTCCCATTCTACTGGGGGAGATAACATGCAAACAGCTACATATATATGGTGTAAATGGAAGGTTATCTTAGAGGGAAGGTACTGGTAGTTCAGGAGGGCCAGGAAAGGCCTCCGAAAGCAGAAAGCTGGGTAGGGGAGAATTCCAGGGATGGGGCAGAGACCTCTGAGTTGTATTGCCACGTGTGAAGAGCAGCGAGGAGCCCAGGATAGAGTACATTGGAATGGGGAGTAAAAGTAGGAAGGGGTCAGATTGCCAAGGAGTTTAAATGCCAAATGGAACATTTGTATTTGATCCTGGAGGGAATAGCCATGGCGGGGGCGGGGGGGTGGGGGGGGAGGGAGAGACAGAGAGAGAGACAGAGAGAGGCAGAGATAGAGTGAGTGTGTGTGTGTGTGTGAGTGAAAGAAATGGTCAGACTTGTTTTTTAGGAAAACCATTTAGGGAGCCAAAAAGAAGATGCAGTGGAGTGAGGAAAGACTTGAGGTAGGGAGTCCAGCCAGCAGGCTGTGGTAATCGTCCAGGCATGAGGTGATGAGGGTCTGCCCCAGGGTGGAGCAAAAGGCATGCATTTAAGAAATGTTGTAAGCGTACCCGAGGACACTTGGAGGTGGGGGTAAAATGAAGGAGTTAACGCAGGTAATCTCTATGGCTGCTTCTGGCTTAGATCTTCTGCTTCCCTAGGAGCTTTCATTTCTATTTTTCTCCGTAGTTATTCTCTGGCCCAGCTTTTATGTACAGTTTCTAAAGTATATTCTTGGAAGAAGTTGCTAACATTGTCTGAAGTGAGTTGACCTCTTCAAGAGCATCACTGATAAACTCATCTTCTAATATAACATACTCTAGTGTTTAATATAGTGGGAGTCTTACCTCACACAGCTGGCCAGGTCATGGGGTTGGTATTTCTGCAGAAGGTTGGAGTCTACTTCTGGGATCTTTCTTTTGCAAGACTGCGAAGGCTTACTATAAATTATACAGTTACAGTAAAGTTGTGCAAATTATACAAATTTTAAAAAAAGTTTTTGATATGTTTTGTTTTGACATGACTTTCATTTCCCAATATCGGCTTTCCTTGTTCCCCTCCTCTAGAGAGCCATCCCTTCTAACAAAGAAAAAAAGGGGAGAGGAAAAGCAGTTCAGGAAAACTAACCAAACCTCAGTGGATTCTTAGAATAAATGCAGCATTTCACACCCTTAGTCACCCAGTCCTACAGAGAAGGGAGGAACATTTGGTCTCCTATCTTTTCTTTCAAGACAGACTTGATTATTACAATTATATAGTGTTCGATTTTTATTTTTTATTTTTTGCTCTTTTCATTTACATTGTGGTAGTCATTATGTCTTGTCTTCCTGCATGTATTTACTCGATTTGCATCATTTCGCAGAAATCGGCTTTTTCTCTTTAGTCTTTGTTCTCATTGCTTCGTATGGAGCAGTAATATTCCATTACAAGAATGTAGCACAATTTATTTAGTCATTTCCAAGTAAGTGGGCATCAGCTTCGTTTCCAGTTCTTGGCTACCACAACAAGAGCTACGATAAATATTTTAGTGTATTGAGGATAGTTCTTTTTGTCTTGACCTCTTTGAGGTATGTGTCTAGCAGCAGAATCTCTGGGTCAAATGGAATGGACATTTTAGTCACTTTCTGAGCCATTCCTGATTTTTTTCCATGATGATGATAGCTAGCATTCATATTATGCATTAAAGTTAACTCATTTGATCTTCACAGTCACCTCATGAGGTAGGTTCTATTATTATCCCTTTTTCTTATAGATGAGGAAACTGACACTGAGAGGTAAAGTGACTTTCCCAGGATCACACAGCTAGTAAGAGTCTGGGGGCAGAATTTGAATTCAGACCTTTGTGACTAGCATTGTATCCATAGCACCCCCTAGCTTGGTGTTTGGATCAGTTCACAGCATTGAATTAGTGTGCTTGTTTATCTGTAGTCCCTCTTACATTGGGAATCTTCTTGGTCTTACTCATCAAAATACATTATGGAAAATACAATGGCTTAACTGTATTCTTACAAAATGAAATTTTTTCTGTTTCCTAGCACAATAGCATTAGTTCTTATAGAAAAATAGTGATTTGACTGACAAAAATTATTGTTGAAATGTAGTTTCAATGTAATGACATACATAGAAACAGTCAGGGAATGTGGTACCAGAGTGTCCTGGTCTGTTTCTTGGCCAGGAGAGTTCCAAATATTTTCTAGGCTTTTTCCCAGTTGGCTCTTTTTACCTTATCAGACCTCGGTGTAGCAGTTTTATTATACCTACATCTGCATGCCTGTCATATATGCCTGTAGTTGGACAAGTCATAGGTCTATATACATGCAGTATTTAGGTGGTCAACATGTAGTGTGGACATCTGTACTCCAATATCACTTCTGACAACACCAGCGGTGTGCCCATGGGCAAGTCACTTAATCTTTCTGAGTTTCCATTTCCTTATCTTTAAAGTGGGTATAATAATTAAGGTATCACTTACCCAGGGAGTCCTAATGCTCAAATGAGAGAATAGAATATAAACCATTTTGCACATTTCAGAGTCATATGTATATCAGCTGTTAAAATGATAGAAAATAGATATAGACACATTTCATTGTGCAGGCATACACACACATGCACACATACATATAATGTGTGTGTTCACAGTGGGTAAGGATATGGACATTGAATTTGAAAGGTAGAAGTAATCTGATTACTAGTCTTGAAGGAAAACTGACAATTTACCAGGTACAGGCTTTCATTCATTTATTTATTTATTAATAAATGAATGAATAAATAGTACAATACAATATGATATGACATAGTATAATATGATATGGACCTAGGACTCAGCTTCCTCCTCTGATAAATATTGGTTGTGTGACCCTTGAGAAATGCTGATTTGTAAATAATATCTTAGTATATTTCTTGGCTAAGAGATGTATAAATTTTTTCTAATTTTCTAAGTTATCTTCCAGAATTCAAATCTGTTCTCAAATACGTGTGACCCTGGGCAAGTTACTTAATCCTGTTTGCATCAGTTTGGAGAAAGAAATGGCAAACTACTTTAGTATCTTTGCCAGGAAAACTCCAAATAGGATCACAAAGAGTCAGATGTGACTGAAAAATGACTGAGCAAAAAAAACAAACAATATGAAATTTGCAAAGCACTTTACAAATATTATATCATTTTATCCTCACAATATCCTCACCTACTCCCATTTTACAGATGAGGAAACAGAGGCAACTAGTGGTTAAGTGACTTGCCCAGAGTCACACCCCTAGAAAGTGTCTGAGGCTGTATTTGAATTCACTTCTTCCTTCCGATGCTCCGATTCATACTGATAAGAAGTTTCCTCGGCAGGTATTCCCTCTAACCAGTAAAATCACAGGTATAGACACTACCCTAACATGTACAATTATCCCTTCCGCATTGCAGGGATTACAGGGATGGCACCCCCATGATCTGGAAAATCTGTGTAAAATTTTTTGACTCCCCCTTTGTACCGTAGA